ATGGATGGATGCATGGATGGATGCATGGATGGATGATAGCAACATACCGGAGTCATTCTTTTATTATCGTTCGTTTCCCCATCTTCTTTAAAAATAACGTCTGTATTAATTTCCACTTTCAAAGCCTTGTACTTCGGAGAACCTCTTCTTACAGGGCCTTCAGAAGAACCACTTGCAGCAGCTGACGATTCTTCCGCATCTGGTAATCTTTGAGTTTGTTTCATCCCGACCTTCCTTCCTATGGGTCGTACCTTGTTCGTCGTACCGGGCCCACACGTTCCTCCGCCATGAACAAGAAGAAACAGCAAAAGCAGACCTATTCTAATATTCCTGAGGGCTCGGATAGTGCTGTTCTTTCTTTTCCCCCACATTTTCTGTCTGTTAAAATATTCCATGGAATGATACGAAATTTGTGCTGGAAAATCTTGGTGTCACAGTTTTGGATATGATCGTGAGCTGAACCCTGTAAAAGCGGATAAGATAACGTTTACCAAACAATTAACCCCTTGGCATCTATATACCATACACTATTAAATAAAACAATAGAACATTCGATTTTTTTCTTATCTGGATTTGTCATAAGTTCAAATTTAGCCGACAAGTCAAAAATCCATCCATGTTGGATGGATAAACAACGATGATGGCGGCGAAGGCGCCGATCTTTTACAGAGAGACACCGCTCAGGCAAACTTAATTCAAACCATACTGCCTGACCTTTATTGGTGTTTGATTGTATGCATTTGAAAGGTAATTTTGGAACTGCTGTTTTTGAGACATTTTAACCACGAAAGAAAAAGCTTGATATTTGGGTAATGTGATCGATCACATAACCTTTTAGTAAAAAGTCGTTTTTGGCACTGAGAAGTAACATACACTTTTCACAATGAAGTATTAATTAGTAACTAACGTCCATTCATAGACTTCATAATGCTACAACGCGAAATTAAATAATATAACAGCTTATCTTTCTCCGAGTTTATCGATACACAGTTACTGTACAAGAGAAATAGCAAGTGACATTTAAAACTGGGATCAGCTGAAGATCCCGCATTAATTCCTCAATCTAGACAAAGAATGCTCGCAGATCAAACCCTGAAACAACCTCTGGGCTGATCTAATAGATCAGCCCAGAAAATTCAGGGCACGGCTAACTCACAGATCGAACCTTGAAAAAATTATGGGCTGATCTAAGTTAGGGTACGGATAACTTATTGCAGATCGAGTTTAAATTTAATCGACTATTTCAATTAATTATATTTCATTACATAATACAAAATCTGTTCTGATTCTCCTAGATTTAATTAGGAAAGGTTTAAGGACATCGCGTGGTGGTTTACTAAGCCGACAAGACACCTCTTAAAGGAAGTCCCTTGGTTTTCAAACTTAAGGAAGTATACATTGTACGTTTTTGTCTCAACTTCCTGAAGTAACCTTAACTCTTTTGAACCAAAGACAGGCCAAATGATTTAAAAGAACAAAATGTGATTTTCGTTCACTATTGTTGTATGTCGTATATACACTCACCCCCACTGAAGTGGTTTGACTTCACGACTAGAAGCATTTATTTTTTCATTCTCTATCATAGCTCTTTTTGTTTTTCCCTCTTTCACTGATGCACTGATCTGATGCTAGATCCAGTAACTAGACCAGAAAATTTTTCCAAACGTATTTATAATCAAATTCATATTCTGCTCTGCTCTTTTTAAGTTTATTCAAGATTTCGAGCTATCCCATGACCCTATCCGTGACAAGACCCCACTTTTTCTAACTTACTTGCTACTGTTTCATACAAATTATAAAGTATTTTGGTCGGTTTTTGGCCCCTTTACACTTTAATATCAAGGCATTTAGGAAAGCTTAGATTCACACATGTATTCAAGAAAAAATACTCTACGGTCTACAGAATCTACTCTTACAACTTAAAGGTTTAAACCACCTTATCTCCAGAGTAAATGAGTCATGATAACTTCAGAGTAAATAAGTATAAAAGAGCTTAGATTAAGAATCTGATAGATAAATATGATTTGAAAATGGATCTTTTCAACCTACGCAAGCTCAAAATGCTTTAAGGAAACGTGTTTGTTTACATAACGTTTATAGAAGTTCACATATTACTATGAAGCATACTTCCCACGCCGGATTTAGTGAAAGTATTAATGCCAGCGCGCTAAATTTAAGCTTAACATCATTGCTAATGATTTGAAATGATATACGTATCTGGCACTACTATACTTGAGTGTGCAATTATTGTATATATGTAAATGTTTATGAGTAAAGCAATTTCTTTGCACACATTTTTAAGTTCCACTTACTGAAGGTGTCAAAAGAGTGTCCTTTGAAAGAGGTTGAGTACCCCAAGTGAAAACCTTCTTTCGCCAATCCCTTGGATTAGTTGAATCAGTGTTCACAAACGGTATTTGAGCTAAATAGTAAGCCACACAGACGACACAACAGAAACAATCAACATGGTAGATGAAACTAGTCTAAAAAACTGACGTTAATTGATTCTTTCTCCCAGCGTGTTCCCGCGCAAATAGGCGACCAACTGCGGCACCTGTGGAGACCTTTTTCTGATTTCTAATTGTATATACACTCTGTTACCGACTGCTAAAAACCATTTGGAAAGATTAGGACTCAAAAACCATCCTCTAAGTTTCCTTTCTGAGGTCTGCTCCTTACCTCATTTCTCTAAAGAGTCGAAAAGATAGCGACCAAAAATAAAAAATGGGAGTTCCAAGCTAGCGAGGCAGTTAATTCAAAAACATTAATCAAACGCTTGTATCATAATCAAATCTGACAACTCACTGTTTGTTTTTTAGATTGATATAAATAATCAAAAAATAAAGCGCTCTTGGCTTAGTGTTAGAAACCGTTGTCTATAATACAACAAACGACGACTAAAACTTACTATCAACAGAGATGACTACTTTAAAGCTTTTAATGCCAAACATAAGAAAAATATCTCGCTAAATTTGCTTTGTTCTTTCTATTAATAAGCTGGCTGCATTTTCACGTTTTTAGAAGGCTGTATTCCTATGAAACAAGCTTCTGACGGGCACTCCCTGTCGCATATAAATTAGAGTTGATCAGCTACCAGAAATCAATACAACCGGCACAGTTACAATACATACCGAACTTTTTTGCATATAGACAGCACTTTTATTCCGTTGTATAATTTTTTTCATCATCCCTCCTGCCGTGTGTTCGACCCTGGTAACTGTTATTTTGGTAGATAAAAACGCCAGGCGTATATCATCCCATTCAATCCATCATGTTGTTCATTTGGCTGATCAAATCTAATCAACCGGCTGTTTTGACGGTCAATGTCACCACAGGAAGACCATCTCGTTATTTCTGGCACTCATTTTTATCCGATAATGAAGTTAAAGTACTTTACTAAGGCCGGGATAAGCTTAATTGAAAAAATCAAAATTTTGAGATAAAAATTTCTTGTCCCAGACAACACCTCTCCGGTCGCAGCAGCAATGAGAAGGTAAACAGATAAACAGATAAACACCAAACACCGGGCACATAGCTGGTTAAAGTGCCGGATCAAGGATTTTAAAGATGGAGGTTCCAACATGGCCGCCACGCCGAGAAAGCTGGTAGGATTGGTACAAAAGGGGGTTCCAATTTCACTCTACTGAGCGTAAAGAACAAGATCTGACAAAAGGGTTGTTCCATGGAACCCACGGGACCACCCTTGGATCTGCTGCCACTAGGCCACCAAAGCCGGCATAACTGACCCCTGAATCTTTGGCCATAAAGATTCAAATCTCGTATAGCCGACATCAAGTATTGTAGGAATGTGTTTCACGCACGCGATCCATGCAATACCGTATATAGATGGCTACACTATAACCACGGGGAAAAGGAAGATCTATTTCATCCATTTTTTAGGCTAAACTAAGACAAGCATTGCGAAAAAACGATGGAGGATGAAACAGTGAACCACCGTGACTGCTGATCGACTAATCTGGAATTAAGAAAATTTATTAAACTTGTTCACACCCTGTTTAGCTCAGCTTTTCGCTAAGTCGATAAAGAACCTCTATTCAACTTGTACATTCCTGTTGGGGATTTGATGTACTTTATATTAGATTAACGACCTCTTTATCCAGAATAACTGTTCGTTTCCGCTTCGTAATCTAGAATAACTTGACTTGATAAACTTTGATTCTAAGACAAGGATGAAGACCCTGGATTATGAGAGACAATCCTAGATCAGTCTTATTGGTGCCGCATGTGATAAATTGAAAGGTACCCATCTATGCTTAAGTATATATGGTGTTAATCACCTCAATAACCTTAAAATGAAAAGCAGAGCTCCTAAATAATGCCTTTCTCTTCACTTGATTGGACTTTAAACTAAGTTTCAAGATATAATATAATGTACTGCAAAGGTGCAAAATACGGCATAAAATCAGTGTCCTAAACATCCTTCTCTAGATCTGTAATTAATTCATATTTCCGTGATTTCGAAGTTCTGAATTTAACAAAGCTCTAAGCTGGCTGCATGGGTTATAGGGCAATATGGGGGACAAATGCTGCAAATATTAAGAAACGCACGAGTAATTGCTGCATTAAACGAGCTGCTGCGAACATGAAACGATTTGTTGCATGTTAATCGATAAACTGGGCGAGCTGTTAGCCGATTGGAACTGACTTTCACCTTAATTATAATTTTCAAAAACACGATTCTCAACTTATTACGAATTCTAGTCGATTTAAGGTAGTTCTGGACCTTTGCTACTGCGCATCCACTTCGCGCATCTCGTCTTTTAGGCCATTCTTCTTTAATAATTTCAATTTGACGTGTTTGTCTTTCGGCACAAAATAACTTCGTGGTACTTTAAATTGCTTATCATCACAGATTAAATGCCCTAAATAGTATTTTTAGTTTTTACCTTTTTCTTTTTTGCTTTTTTTCTATAAGAGGCAGGATTTGGGTACTTATTGTGCGGGGGGACTGGGAAATGATGGCCCCTTTGGGTAAACATGCAGTAGACCATATAAACAGAAATAATAGCAATATATAGAGAGAAAATAGTTAGTAAACGTTTCCCAGGAGGCATCATTTGCAAATCAGGAACGAACACTGGATTTTCCCATCGTTATTGTTTACTTAA